GTAGAGCTGCCACTTTTTATAGCATCCAGTAGCTCATCGTGGGTTATCTCAGTGCATGTTATAGATCTTGTATTTAAGGCACATAAAGTTACTCCATTTCTAATATTTTCCCATGACTCAATGGTGACTCTCGTGTCTGCAGGTAAGGACTCCATACCAGCAGCACTTGCCCATTTATCTACTAACTCATTAGCAACTTTCCCTGGATCTGAGTGAGCAATGAATTTGGTCTCACAACCCCTGATTTTGTTTACTGCTCTCCATATGTCTTTAAGGTTCTTAGTATTACCAATGGACTGAGCAAATTCTTGCCAGTATCTGTCCCGCGCCTCCTTCCTCACCTGACTGCATTCCCTAGCCACTTCCAACATTGTATTTTTCTCTTCATCCCTCATTCCATTTTTTTAACCATGCTTTATGCGCACTCCGTAGCATTCTCTCCCATCCCTTGACTTGCTGATCATTGGAATATTTAAATTTCTTAGGTCCGTGCGTCTTGCTTCCCTGCTCCCGTTATTTTCCCTCTGTACTAATTTCTCTATGTTCTCGACCATGTCCTCGTAAAACTATCAACGCAGAGCGGCGTGTAATGTTGATACCAATCTCCCATATTTTGAATAAAATAATTTTTCATATCTTTCTTAATATTTAGCCTTTTCCTTTGAAAGTGGACTTGTTTTTTCCCCAGTGGTAATTCAACGTTCAAGGCAAAGTGGTCACTAAGTAGTTCCCGAACAACCCGAGCCTCCCCCATAATCCCCTGAGAGTTTAAAATGCAGGCATAGTCAAGCCGTCCTCCCCTGATGTGAGTGGTTCATTGTTTCCCAAGAGACAGGTATCTGGATGATCTTGTAGAAACTGTAACCACTTGACCCCATTAGCATTAATACTACCCACTGTCCCAAGGCTTGTGTGCCGAGCATTAAGGTCCCCAATGACCAGTGAAGGATTAGTATAAATGCAGTCAGGTAAATAGTTAGCGTCGAAGCAGTTCCTGGATACATACAAATTAACTACAATAAATTCCCCTTCCCTTAATGATAATTTAACACAGACACTCTCTATACCTTGCGTTTTTGATGGCGGTTCTACTAACTCTGCTGGTATGGAGTTCTTAACATAAATCGACGTGCCTCTGATGTTATTTGCAGCGAAGAGGTGAAACCTTTATAGCCATTTAATTTCAATAATCCTTCATTCCTATCCCCTGTCTCTTGGAGAGCTACAACATCAATATCATTTCCCATCACAAACAATGAACATCTGTAACCCTGTTTCTCAAACCATTAACATTCCATGACAACACTTTCAGTCTAGGGTGATCCATTATTAATCAATTCATTGCCTAAGTCATCCCCAATAAGTTCACTAAATGATAGCCATACCTTGTATAACATCTCCCACCTCCTCCCAAGTTCACCAGTAAAAGCGACATTGCGATTCTCAAGAGATTTTTTCAGCCCTGAGACGTCCATTATTGGCCCAAATGATTCCTTCATTTTATGTCTAATTATAGGGTTCTTCCTTTCCCTACGACTATCATCATTCACACACACTTCACTTTCCTTCTTTTCATCACTCAATATTTCATTTTTGTCCTCAACCACTATATCCTGACTATCCTTCACCGTTTTGTGATTTTCCTTGACCTCCTGAACGTTTAATTTAGCCTCGATGGACTCGATTCTCTGCCCAAGATTTTGGAGGAACTCACCAACTTTTTTAGTTCAGCCCACACTTCCTTGACCATATTATTATGACCCTCTTTCTGAGCCACAGTAGCCACTTCACTCACCGTTACACTGTCACTGCCGGAGTCCTGAGTGGTGGCGTGGCTGCTTGTTGCTGGAGCCTGCCTAAGTAAAGGTGACTCCTTTACCCACGCATTCGTCCGGTTCACTGGCACTGTTTGGGGCAGACTGTTTTGCTGTGCTCCCGGTGTCTGGGTAAGAGCTCTTGCTTGCTCTGTAACATTCACCGGCCGGAGAACAGCCATACTCGGCCTCTTGCTACACACAGCCGAGCTCGCATTGTGAACACCTCCACAGTTGCAGCATCTGGGAACTATTTTCTCACCCAGATTCAGTCTGTTTCTACACACAGTAGAGAGGTGAGACTTTCCGCAGAAACGACATCGTGGATCATTTTGACAGCTCCAGGATTTATGCCCCCATCTGCAGCATTTCAGGCATATTATGGGCTCTTCCACATACTTTGCTACATGCCTGTAGCCAGCCCCGGTGATGAACACTTTCTCGGGTACGTCACCTCTCACTAGAGCCACCACCTGACTCCTAGCTTCACCTTTAATAAGGTGACGCTTGGCCCACACAAATCGTTGGTCGTCGAGTATAAACTCGGGGTCCAGATTCTGAGGGTATTTATAGATAATTACCTTCGTCAGCTTCTCGTTCCCCTCCGGTATTTCCATAAGAATTCCATCATATCCTTGCTGGCTAAGAAACGTCACTGCCTCCATAGAACCTACCGTTAAGTAAGGTCTGTTTACACCTTCCTTCAGCAGGGGCTCGAACTTGCGGTGTTCTCTTCCGAGTTTGACGGTCCACAGCAGCTTCTGATGATAGGCCAACGTGCATGAGGCAGGGAAGAGAAGCCTCCATCTCCGCTGATCCTCACCTTCCTGACATCGTTCCGTCCGTTTGTCTGCATCAGTCTCGGCGTCGTTCTTCATTCTCTTATCGTTTCCGTTAAGTGTATTACTGTCCACACTACGCCTTGCCTCCTGTCTTCTTCGTTTCTTCTTATTCCTTGTCAGAACTTCTAGATACTCACCCTCCTCGTCTGACTGGCTGCTTTCAGGGTCCATGTTAATAACGCCGTGAGAAGTAGCCATGTCTTCTGGTGACTGAGTCTCCATCTCAGTACCCAGCATGGGGGGGGGGGGGGGGAGGTGCGGAGCAGGTATCTTGACCCGACCGCGTCCCAGGTAAGACTGAACACGGTTGTTGATTTGTGGAATCAATTACTGCGTAACATATTAAGAGTAGGCTCCCTTGATTGTTTCAAGCGTAGGTTGGACATATATATGAATGAGATTAGGTGGTTTTAAATAGGAGCGGCCTCGTATGGGCCAATAGGTCTTCTACCGTTACCTTTATTCTTATTTTTTTGCAAAAGAACATAAAATAGATCACTTGCCTTGAAAACATAGATTAGTTCCTGATAATAAATAATATCCGAAATTTAAAGCCAAAAGAGTTCAAATTTATGTGCAAATTTTCGAAGTAAGGTAATAGGTTTGTTTTTATAATTTGTAATCTAGAAACTTATTTTTAATTAATAACAAGTGAGGCAGCGTGAAGCAGCCAGCACATGTACCTCAATCTCCAGGCATGTCACGTCACCTCGTCCTGGCGCGACCTATATATTAACTTCCAAACAAGAGTTAGTTATTCATTTGCAGTTGGTTGCGTGTTGGAACAATTTCTACTGTCAGTCTGTCACACGGTCCGAGACAATGGATACCACTGCTGCAGATGATTATTTTCCTAGTCTTCCACTATCGATCTTAGTCGACGTAATGAACCTCGGTGAAGGATTTTCTGGCGACAAAATGTTAGAATTTATTGACAAATCAAAAGCCATTCTTAATGACTTGCATAATAACGATTCTACGATGTTATTCACTAGCAGCGTACAACTTGGAATTTTGTGCGCATTAACTCTCTCCATGCGTACGACGTCGGTCAAGATGACGGGGCAATGGGAAGATGTCCTTTGGGGAATTATTGACCTAGCACCATCTTGTGAGCCTGATGACATCAATTTAAGCGCACTCGAGTCTGTCGTGAAGCCCTGGATACTAACAATGTTCGCAGACCCAGAGATGTGCCCTAACCCGTACCTGCGTCTGAGAATGGTTCACTTAATCCACATTTGGCCAGAGACTTTCTTACAGGATGCCGCCTCGGGAATGCAAGCAGCTGCAGGCCTTGTGATCAACAGAAAATATATGGATCGCGATCATTTATGTACAGATGATGAAGCTCCAATATTACTTCATGAACTTAAAGATGTTAGTCACCCTTGATGAATATGGCCACCTTGATGGTATTGGTGATGCAGCAGTTGACCAGTTAACAAGAATAAATGTCGGACCAGAAGTATCCTTACTCTACAATCTAATGAAGGTCTTAAAACAAATGGCGGAGGAATCCCTAAATTTAATAGGAAAGAAGAGGTTATATATGACCGAGCATGTTATACATTTGTATATGGAGTTTGTCGATTTACGGAAACTCAGGAAGGCTTATCGAGCTCCTGGCCTGGCTAAGGTCGTTGCAGATACCCTAGTTGCCATAACAGTGTCATTTGTTACAATTGGCTTGACCTTAGAAGATATTGAAGGAAAGAGATACAAGTTTTTTGCGGACCTCTTTGATAGTACTTACAAAAGCATACGTGAATCAGAAATATTTAGTTCGGTCTATCAGGTTCTGCGACTTGACCACGCACAGTATCTATCTTCCCTTGGGAAGAAGGCAGCCGATTCCAGTATTTTCTTTCATCATTTCCCAGTGCCGTATCAGGAATCATCGGAGGAAGTCCCGGAAGAGTTCAGAGACAGCGTGACGCTGGCGGTGATGGAGGCGCCGGTGCTGCTGCACTCGTCCAAGATGGTGACAGACGAGTCGACGCTGATTCGCCTGCTACTGGAGTCCGGGCTGGACCCCTTCACGCGGTGTCCTCTAGACCAGGGCTCCTATAGTCGTCTTCCCCAACTCCAGGCGGACATCCTTGCATGGAAGGAAACTACCAAACTTGTGGAATAATATAATTGATAGACATATTCAACACTGAAAATATTCAAATCGCCTGCTACTTCTACAGTTTTATTCTGACATGGTAATGAAGTTTACTGAATTTAAGAGAGGCCTCTGCACTAAATTTGTTCAATTTTTATATATCTTGTAACTTAAATATGAATGAGATGTTAAATTTTCTTTTAATAAATGTAAACAACAATTCATTAAGAGTTTATTCTCACCTGTTTTGGACAATAATTGTATCAATTTTTATATCCATTTGTTATGAAATTATCTGCCAGAATCATTGATGAAATTTGTGAAAAAATTAAATTTGGATCCCCGATAACGACTTATTGGAATTAATTATACCTGCTTGAATCCATAATTACAAATTCTAATCATTGTCATGCTGAAATGTTCTTCGAACTGGAGATAAATGTAAAGCATATTTTTGCTCAATTGAAAGCCAAGGGTATGGAAGGAAAGGGCACTATCAGTGAGAAAACGTTGTTGTTGTTGAAGATTTAGCTATTCAGAACGAAATGACCATGTAGCAGGAGCTGTTGTGAGCCCGTAATTGAGTTCGGTTATTCGCGATAACTGATATTTGGGTCAAAGTATTAAATGGAGGTGGGGTTTCCCCTTTTTCTGTTTTATTAACATTATATTAGTGGCGGATGTGGGTGCAGAATGTTCACTAGTGAGTCCCATTCCTTAACAGCTTTTCTAATCATTGTAGTCGTTGTGGAATGTATGGCTACTGCAATGTCTCTGTATATTTTTTTCTCAGGCTTCAAACAGTATAACCCAGTGGCTTGTTCGTACCATATCGCAGTGGATCTTCCTTCCTCTACTTTGGGTCTCTGGCGACTTTTTATAGTTGGGCGTATTTTCTTCTTGATTTGCTCTGTGAAAAACTTGGAGGTATTTGAACCTGTACAACAGTAAGAGCAGTCGCAGTTTTTGCTAGTGAGTTTGCCTTTTCATTACGATCTATGCCAATGTAACTTGGTATCCAATCTAGGGTGATTAACAGTCTTAGATTATGGCTTCTTTTCCTATATGTTGGATTTCTGCGAGGAGTTATATATTATCTCTGTGTTGACTGGATATGGAAAGTGCCACTATATAGCACTTGGAACGGGGGAGGGGGTCAGGATTTGGGATTGGACGGGAGGAAAGGTGAAAGGTGCCCAAACAGTTAGGCAGTTTAGGAAAAGGAAAGGTGCCCAACCAGTTGGACAGTTGGGGATTGGAGCAAATCAAAGGGAAAGTACTCCCAACCATCAAGTGCCACAGAGCCAAAGTAGCAGAAGGAAGATCCACTGGGACTGATGAGGATTTAGCCATCCAAGAGATGCCAGGTGCCCGTAATTCTTTCCTAAATCTAATGTTACTCAATTTATACCCATTGCTACTAGACCACCCAGTACAGGATACGAGTATGTCATTATATTTCTTTGACTAATTGGCATTTCCAGCTTCCACCTGTATTCATTTGTTTGTATTTTTTTCCCTTTCACTTTACAAAAGCTTTTGATGTGCACTTTGTCTATTCACAGCTGATGGTGGTGGGAGAAAGTAGCGAGTGAATATTGTTATTGAATATAGCCTGGTTTAAGAATGACCTAGCCTGGCTTTAGCGTTTCGGTCAAGATATAGGGAAAAACACTTAGACTAAAACTTAAAACTAATTGAGATCAAAACATAAATTGAATAATTTGTATTAATTAATAATAAATTTGATTAATACATCAAATAATTTGGGAATCTATCTGTTCTTTACACTCAGTATGTAGAACGGTCTCGTTTCAATGCCACAACTCGTCAAAATCGGCATGTTTCATACACATTCGTTCTTGGATAAAAATGTTCTTGTACCAGTAAATTAGTTCGTTGCATCTCCATTATCGTGCACGTGCGCTCTGAGAGCGTGCCAATACGCTCAATAGGCCTCAGGAATTGATTAAAGTATGCTTCCTAATTAGAAAACTTGAACTAGCTAGCCTCCCGCAGTTGATAAGCCTCTTTAATCCCAACAACAAAACTATATTAGGCTACATATAAGGAGGTCGTCTCTGGCGAAGGGGGCTGCGTTCTAGATGATCACGTCATAGATATAGGGAAGTGGTGATAAAGTTTTTAATAAGTTGAAAAGATTTACCACATAAGCTTTGCCTGTATAATTCAGACACAAATATATATATATATATATATATATATATATATATATATATATATATATATATATATATATATATATATATATATATATATATATATATATATATATATATATATATATAAATATATATATATATATATATATATATATATATATTAGGTACGACATATATATATATATATGTCGTACCTAGTAGCCAGAACTCACTTCTCAGCCTACTATTCAAGGCCCGATTTGCCTAATAAGCCAAGTTTTCCTGAATTAATATATTTACTATAATTTTTTTCTTATGAAATGATAAAGCAACCCTTTTCTCTATGTATGAGGTCAATTTTTTTTATTGGAGTTAAAATTAACGTAGATATATGACCGAACCTAACCAACCCTACCTAACCTAACCTAACCTATATTTATAGGTAAGGTTAGGTTAGTTAGCCAAAAAAAGCTAGATTAGGTTAGGTTAGGTAGGTTAGGTAGACGAAAAAACATTAATTCATGAAAACTTGGCTTATTAGGCAAATCGGGCCTTGAATAGTAGGCTGAGAAGTGCGTTCTGGCTATTAGGTACGACATATATATATATATATATATATATATATATATATATATATATATATATATATATATATATATATATAAATATATATATATATATATATATATATATATATATATATATATATATATATATATATATATATATATATATATATATATATATATGTCGTACCTAATAGCCAGAACGCACTTCTCAGCCTACTAATCAAGGCCCGATTTGCCTAATAAGCCAAGTTTTCATGAATTAATGTTTTTTCGTCTACCTAACCTACCTAACCTAACCTAACCTAGCTTTTTTTGGCTACCTAACCTAACCTTACCTATAAATATAGGTTAGGTTAGGTTCGGTAGGGTTGGTTAGGTTCGGTCATATATCTACGTTAATTTTAACTCCAATAAAAAAAAATTGACCTCATACATAGAGAAAAGGGTTGCTTTATCATTTCATAAGAAAAAAATTATAGTAAATATATTAATTCAGGAAAACTTGGCTTATTAGGCAAATCGGGCCTTGAATAGTAGGCTGAGAAGTGAGTTCTGGCTACTAGGTACGACATATATATATATATCACTAAGAACTCTTTTACCCGACCAGGATTCGAACCCATGCCGTCCAGGTACACCCCTAAACGTACACAGTACCGTGACCACCGCACCAATGATCGTTAGACGATATACTTGTTGTTATTGTTATAAACAGCCTCCTGGTCCTTCGGTGCTCATTAACTCTTTAATAATTGTAAACAAAGCCGCCAAAGATTGAGAAAAGATGTACAGGTTCGTAAGTGCTTGCGGAATTGCTTCATGAATCCGGGAAATATACAGTACTTGTTAAGCTCAACGAATGACCAACGCTGTCGTCAAAGTCAGCGTTGATACTTATTGAGTATATGTTGAAAAACAAGTGGTGTGTGTAGAGAAACACTAAATTGAGAGTAGACATTATTCCAGATAACTTTCCATCAGTAGTTCGTGAATATTTGTACATTCAGAGGTCTAGCTGCTTATATGAGGAGACGAAGAGCGAGATCAACGCGGCCTCAGACCAGTGTGGCTTAGAGTTTAAATATTTTAAATTCATATTTTTCTGTTGGACTCCAGGTTGTGCAACTTTTAGCATATCGTAGTCAATGGGTTAAGATTCAGCTTCGATTCCGTTGTCCGGCTGCAAAAAGTTTCTCAAACATGTCACATTATTGTGATTTCATTGTATATCGGAAGTTCATGATTCGGATGAGGGAGCAGTAGTACTCAATGGTGCTATTTTACATGTTATTGTCGGAACACACATACTAATTATCTCTCCCCTCGGTAGACGTCTTTCACTAGACAAGTGATTGTCCTCCTAACAGAACGTCGCATACTTTACCCGAGGCCGAAAATCGTTGCACTACGAGCCCATCCAAGGCTCCTATATATTATCACCCAATCCCACTCATATACATATCCAACCCAAGTTTGAAACAATCGAGGGACCCCTCCTCCACCACATTATGTGGTAATTAGTTCCACAAGTCAACAACCGGTTTTTGTTGATTTGTGGAGCCAATTGCCGCGTAACGTGATGGAGGTTGGGTCTCTCGATTGTTTCATGCGTGGGTTGGACATGTATATGAGTGGGATTGGGTGGTTATAAATAGGAGCTGCCTCGTATGGGCCAATAGGTCATCTGCAGTTACCTTGTTCTTATGTTCTTATAAATAGGAGCTGTCTCGTATTGGCCAATAGGCCTTCTGCAGTTACCTTTGTTCTTATGTTCCTATAGAGGGTTATAAGAGAGCTAATGGACATAACAAAGGGAATATTAATTGGGTATTAAAAGTATCATCACGATACAGAACTCGAAACATTGGGTATAAACTGGATAAGTTTATATTTCGGAAAAACCTGGGTAAATACTGGTTCGTTAACACGGTTGTTGATTTGTGGAATCAATTACTGCGTAACATATTAAGAGTAGGCTCCCTTGATTGTTTCAAGCGTAGGTTGGACATATATATGAATGAGATTAGGTGGTTTTAAATAGGAGCGGCCTCGTATGGGCCAATAGGTCTTCTACCGTTACCTTTATTCTTATTTTTTTGCAAAAGAACATAAAATAGATCACTTGCCTTGAAAACATAGATTAGTTCCTGATAATAAATAATATCCGAAATTTAAAGCCAAAAGAGTTCAAATTTATGTGCAAATTTTCGAAGAAAGGTAATAGGTTTGTTTTTATAATTTGTATTCTAGAAACTTATTTTTAATTAATAACAAGTGAGGCAGCGTGAAGCAGCCA